CTCCATTGCTCTGCTTAGGCCCAGCAAATTCATACCCGTGACCTTCTTAATAGAAGCCATCTATCTAGCATGTGGTCTTCCTCTCTTTCTACTTCCCTCCACCTTTCCCAGCATTATATTCTTTGCTAATGAGTTTTGCCTCTTCATGATGTGGCCAAAGTACAACAGCCTCAACTTAATCATCTTGACTTCCAAGGAAATTTCAGGCTTGATCTGTTTTAGAACCCGTTTGTTTGTCTTTTTGCCTATCCATGGGATCCTCAGCTCTCTTCTCTAGCACCACATCCTAAATGAATTGATTTTCTTCTTCACTGTCCAGCTCTCGCATCCATACATGGTGATGGGGAATACCATGGTTCGGACTATTTTGACTTTAGTGCTTATTTTTATATCTTTACTCTTTAGGATCTTGTCCAGTTCTTTCAGAGCAGCCCTACCCTAAAATTCCCAGTAATTCTAAATGCTGTACATCACACAACTACAAATCCCAGGATACTGTAAGATACAGCTATAGGCATTCCATTGCTGACAAGTGCTATAATCATGTGTTAGAGAGACCTCAAAGATTAAACCTTAGCCACCTACCCCCACTAGTTCTTAACATTATAGTTATAGATGTGATCGAGGGGAAGGAAGCTCAGAAAGGGGAATGCAGAAACCCTAAATAAGTGTGGAGAGTTCTGCTTTCAAACTTGAAGCAATTTTGGTGTATAGAAAAAAAGTTCCATTTGGGATTCCTTGCTTCACTTTGTGGTTAAGGCTTCTAGAAGAGGCAGCAGCTATTTCAGTGGGGTTTCTCAAATGGGCCGTTTGAGTGGCATTGGTGAGATGCCTCTGTTTTGGTTTCAGCTGCCAGACTGAGGGAAAAAATGGGAACATCTATACGCAAAAATGATAAAAGGAAGGAAGTTTTCTCTTATTCATTGCCTCCTTTGTGGTCCCACTGTCGGGAGCCTTCCAAAAAAACATTCATGGTGTGTCCTAGTTGTGTGCTCTTCTAAACTGGCTTCTGCAGCTCCGTATTTAAAAATAGAACTTTTCTGCAGTTTTCTTTGTTTTGTTGCTTGCCTTAGCCTAGAAGAATAATGAGACTATGCTTGTAAAGGTTTTTATCCAATTTGACTGCTGAATGAATACCTTTGTCATACACTTTTCTTCAGTTGTAAATTAGCAACAAGGAAGGAAGGAAGGAAGGAAGGAAGGAAGGAAGGAAGGAAGGAAAGAAGGAAAGAAAGAAAGAGAGAAAAGAATGTGTTTTCATATCTAGAGATTTAAGAACCAAAATATCCCGTGATTTATAGTTGGGTCCCCATGTGGTTTAGTGGTTTGAGTGCTGGACTAGGAGACTGAGAGACCAGAATTCAAATCCCTACTTGACCATGGAAACCCAGTAGGTGACCTTAGGCAAGTCACACTCTCTCAGCCTCAGAGGAAGGCAATGGCAAACCCTTTCTGAACAAATCTTGCAGAGAAAACTCTGATAGCTTCGCCTTAGGGCAGGGGTAGGCAACCTTTCCCCTTTAAGGGCCGAGGGACTTCAGCTCCCAAAATCCCAGGAGCTATTGGTCAGCATGGGACTATTGGCCAACATGGCTGAGGCTTCTGGGAGCTGAAGTCCCTCTGCCCTTAAAGGGGAAAGGTTGCCTACCCCTGTTCTAGAAGAATGTATTCCTGACATTTTTTGCAAACAAACTGCAACCGAACTTCTCAGGGTCAGGGGGTTTCCCAGCAAACAATGGACTATTAATTAAATAGACACTAATCCTCTTTGCATAACCTCCCACCCTGAGGCCTTGCCTCAACAGAATACACAGATTTACATTCTAATTCCCAGTAGACAATGGACCATTAATTAAATAGACACTAATCCTCCTTGCATGTCCTCCCCCAGAGGCCTTGCCTCAACAGAACAATACACAGATGTATATGGTAATCCTCTCAACCAAGGATCACTCAGTATATATACCCCACACACCTCCATGCCACCATTCTCTGAAGATGCCAGTCACAGATGCAGGCGAAACGTCAGGAATACATTCTTCTAGAACACGGCCTCACAGCCTGGAATCACTCAGTGGGTTTACATGGCCGAGCTGGGATTTGAACCCTGCTCTCCAGAGTCGCAGCCCAGCACTCAAACCACTACACCACGCTGACCCTTTCCTAAACAGCTTATCAATACAAAAATGTTTATGTTATCACCCATCTGTTCGTTAGTGGTTTCAGTGTTGAACTATGACTCTGGAGACCAGGATTCAGTTCCCAACTGGGCCATGAACCCCACTGGCTGACCTTGGGCAAGTCACACACTCTCAGCCAATGGCAAAACTCATCTAAACAAATCTTGCCAAGAGAACCCCATGATAGGGTTGCCTTAGGGTCACCATAAGTCAGAAACGACTTGAAGGCACACAACAACAACAACAACATTGTTAAGATAAAGATCACTGTTCTATTTAGATTTCCTACACTGACCGATTCACATGTGAATTGGGCTCAATTTTCACTGTTGACTGTGTCAGTATCCCATATCTAGAAAGGTGATTTATTTATTTGATATATAACGTGTTGGTTTTTTTCCAAACTGGGATTCAAGGCAGTTTATGGGTATAATTTTTCCCCTTTCAGAATACTTCTCTTGGGTCTTGTATCCTACAGAGGATAGGTAGGCAAACTTCTGGCCCTCCAGAAGTTCATCACGGGCTTCTTTGACTGAGGCTTATGGGAACTGCAATCTAGTATCTGAAGGGCTGTGAGTTGCCCAGGCCACTTGTAGAGTAACAGGTTTCCCAGAAATTTCCAGGTAGGTGGCTATTCCAGAAAGGTCGTTGTTAGTCTATTGCAGCAAAAATGGCAACAAGAAATCCTATAGCACAATAAAGTCTAGCAAGTTATATCTCATGGACTCCAGCACACCTTGCCCGATGCATGGGGTGCATTTCTGCTTGGTAGATCTTTGTATACCTATGAGAGTGGAAGGAGAGAATGGAAATGCTAAAAGAGCCAGCAAATGTTGATCTTGACAATAGTCATCTAATAAGTCACTGGGAAGTGATGAGAACATCTAGAAGAAATAAGCAGATTAACATATGTCTAGAAATGAAAACTGTCTGATCCAAGTTGCCACACCTGTCTCCTGCAGGTTGAATTAGGTGTTTGTTTCACTACATATGCTGTCACCTCATCTGTGCCTTCATGTGGCACCTTAAAGACTAGCAAATCTTCATCAGATGCATTTTTGGCCATGGGCTGGAATCCATGAAAGCTTATGCCATGAAACATGCTAGTCTTTTTAAAGGTCCCAGTGAGTTTTTTTAGTTGAGTAGGGATCTGAACTGGCATCTTCCCAGTTTTAGCCTCATACACTTAACCAGTGGTTCCCAAACCTTGGTCCTCCAGACTTCAGCTCCCAGAATTCTGACTATTGGCCAAACTGGATAGGGGTTCTGGGAAATGAAATCCAAAACACCTGTAGGATCAAAGTTTGGGAACCACTACCCTAAACTATTGCAGCACAACATTATTATTGTATAATGTAGATGCAAGAGTGAAGTTGAGAGGGAAACTGAAAGGGATGGCTTGCAATTGGCCTACAGACTGATGAATTCATGGCAGATATTAAATCAGATTAAATCAATCAATTAACTTGAATAGTTTTGGAGGTTTTGTCATTACACTATGCCACTGTAAGTGGAACAGGTTGCCTCAGGTTGGGAATGCCGGCCACCAACTATTTGGAGTTATTATTTTGCATGTACTGTAGGCAATCAAAATCTCATTCTGCAGAACAAATTTCAAATTTGGGGAGTTTTTAATCTGCAGAAACACTGACGCTTGTGTTTGGCCTGTACTTGACTTACTGAACAAGCCAAACACAGCACACTACCCTATATTTTGGTGTAGAATCATAGAATAATAGAGTTGCAAGAGACCTTCAGGGCCATCCAGTCCAACCCCTGCCATGCAGGAACTCTCAGTCAAAGCACCCCTGGGACAGGTGGCCATTCAGACTCTGTTTAAAGACCTCCAAAGAAGGAGACTCCACCACAATCTCCGAGGAAGTGTGTTCCACTGTCAAACAGTTATTATTGTCAGGAAGTTCCTCCTAATGCTGAGGTGGAATCTCTTTTCCTGCAGCTTTCACCCACTGTTCTGGGTTCTAGTCTCTGGAGCAGCAGAAAAGAAGCTTGCTTCATCCTCAGTGTGACACCCCTAGTAGATGCAATTAGTTATCTCTGTGTTTTGACTATCCCTGGCAGGCAACCAAGTCAGAAGGGTTATCACATTTCTGATGGAGGAGCTTTTGTGGGACATGGATTTGTCCAGGCATGGTGCAGCCCACGGAGATAAGGACCCTGTTCTATGAGTTTCTTCCAGGCTTCTTTGAAAAGCACTCAACCCTGAGTTCTTACTGGTGGAGAGACTGGCTAGCTCTTAGGTCAAGCATGTGGTATGCACACATGGCTTGAGCGGTATTTTTAGCTTCTTGATAGGCAGTGCTTGCCCTCTGTTTCGGGTTCAACTGTGCCTGATAGCTGTACATCAGTACATCCCTGAGTCTGGGGTGCTAGAGGACTTTCAAAAATTGAGAGTCTTGGTTCTCTTGAGCAAGCCATGCTGCATTGAAGTGGAGCTTCCTGAGAGTACAGTGGTGCCTATTTCATTTCAATAGGACATGCACCGATGTCATAAATGTTACTTTTACTTTTGGAAAGCTGTTCCAGCCCTCCTGAGCCAGTATGGTGTAATGATTTGAACATTGGACTAGCACTCTGGAGACCAGAGTTCAAATCCCTGCTGGGCCATGGAAACCCACTGGGGTTTTAT